CAGCAACGGGTTGTAGGCTCTGATCCACCAGGAGGCCTGGTCTCAGACCGGGCCCGGGGGCGTTGACCCCCGGGAACTTCCAGGTAAACCAGGAAATGCCCCCACGTACTTAAAATACCACATGCCCCACGTATTAAATCCACCCAAATGCCTTAAGTCTTAAACTACACACACTGCCTCAAGTACTTAAACCCCCACATGCCCCAAGTACTTTAAAATCCAAAACCGCCCAAGTACTTAAACTACACACCCCTGCCCCCAAGTACTTAAACTCACCCCTGCCTCGTACTTAAACTACACACACTGCCCCAAATACTTAAAATACAACCCCTGCCTCAAGTATTAAAATCCACACATGCTCAAGTACTTAAATACACACGCCCCCAAGTATTAAACTCCAAAAACTGCCTAAGACTTAAATCCCCACCTGCCCCCGTACTTAAAATCCACCACGCCCAAGTACTTAAACTCACACACACTGCCTCAGTACTAAATCACACATGCCCCAAGTCTTAAAATCCACACACGCCTCATGTACTTAAACTCACACATGCCTCAGTATTAAACTCTACACACTGCCCCAAGATTAACTCCCCAACACTGCTCTTACTTAAACTAAAAAATGCCTCAAGTACTTAACTCCAAACTGCCCCGTACTTAAATCCACAACTGCCTCCGTACTTAAACTCCCCACCCCTCCTCACGTATTAAAGTCCACACCACGCCCCAAGTACTTTTAAACCACACCCGCTCAAGACTTTAAAAACCACACACTGCCTCAAGTATTTAAAAATCCAACACGCCAAATTCTTAAAATCACCCACTGCCCAGACTTAAACTCCACACCTGCCTAGTACGATTTTTATTTATTAGTAATGTGTTAAGGAGTGAGACAACCCGTTTGTTGTTTATCTCTGCCCCCTCGGCACCCTCTCGTGCACACCCCCGTGCCACCTCTCGGCAAAACCCCCTCGTGCACCCCCTCTCGGCACTCACATCGTGAGTGTCGCCCCCGGGAAAAGCCGAACTAACATGGTCTTAAAACGATGTCTTTTTGGGCTTTTCCCCTAGCTTTAAAAATTTTCAACCCTTGCTTTGTTTTTTATTACAATTTCTTCCGCCCTTTTAAAGGGTAATTTAAAAATTAATTTATACAAGTTAGTCTCCTAAAAAAAAGAAATATTTTCTCTATGTAAAAAATTATTTGAATTAAATTTTAAACCTTTAATTGTTATTTCACTCCAAAAAACTTTTTTAAATATTAATTTTTCATTTTTTCATTTTCGACTTTTTTTCCCGGTTATTTTTCCCAAAATACCCGTTTATTCCTTAATATATCAAATTAAATTTTCAAATTTTTACGTATCTTATTACTGATTCCTAAATATTTTATTTTTTCTGATAATTTTCTTTCCTTAAATTTCATTTCTACCCCAAAAAAAACTTGGGGATAGCCCCGTTTTTTTTATCTTTTCGGCAAATTTAAAAAAAAAAAAATAAAAAAAATAAAAAAAATAATAATTAAAAAAAAATAACAATTAAATTATATTAAATTTAATAATAAAATATTTAAAAATAAATAATAATAATAATAATAATTACAAAAATAAATAATAAACTATTAAATAATAATTAAAAAAAATAATAATAATAATAAAAAAATAATAATAATAAATAAAAAAAATAATAAAAATTCAATAATAATAATAATTAAAAAAATAAAATAATAATAATAAAAATTTAAAATAATAATTAATATAATTTAAATTTTTTAATAATAAATAAAATAAAATTAAAATAATAAATAATAATAATAAAATAATAAAAAAATATACTAATAATAATTTTAAAAAAACATAATTTAATTAATAATAAAAATAATAATAAAATAATAATAATAATAATAAAAATAAATAATTAATAAAAAAAAATTTAAAAATAAAATTTTTTTACCGAAAAATTAAAAATTAAATTTTATTTAAAAAAAAAAAAAATACGCAAAACCCTTATTTAGAAATTTTGAAAGTAAATTGTGAAAAAAGAACTTAACAACGGTTTTTTTTTTGGTAACTTCGTGGTTGGTTTTTTGGGGGGGGAAGGAAAAAAAAGCAAATCCCGGGGGGAAAAAAGCCAAAGAAATGTTTTTCGCCCTTAAGGTTGGAGGGAAAAAAACGATAGGGGTAAAGGTTTTTCCGGTGGGGGCCCTTTAAAGGGCGGGTGGTTTTAGGGGTTGAAAGGGGGCCCCGTACGGGGAAAAACGCCCCTCGCCCCAGGGGAAAGGAAAAACCCCCCAGGGAAGAATTAAAAGCTTTGTTTAACTTTATTCACTGACACTTTTCGGAGGAAAAAATTTAAACGGGAAAACTCCCCAGGGGGGAAAAGGAAGTGTGGGTTGTCTGGGGGGAGGGGGGGGGGGAGCCCCAACCGGTAAACCCTTTTTCAAAACCCCTTGTCTTTCTAAATTAAAATTTTAAGGTTGAGGCCAAACAACCCGGGGGATTACGGAAACCCAATCACCCCCCCTCCCCCCTTCCCACCAGAACCAAAACCACCCCAGGTGGGCCCGGCCCGGAGGGGGGACACCCCAAAATGGTTTTTGGACCCCTAAAAGCAATATATGGGGAACTCAACCCCCACCTTATTGGTTTAAAATAGACTTGATATAGGATTAAAAAAATTTTTTAGAAAGTTTTTAAAACCAAAAAGGGGGAAATGGAAAGTTGGGTAGGATTTTGGGGAAAAAGGGAGGGGGGGGGCCGTTGCCCCCTTTTTTTTTTTTTTAAGAAGTCTATTCTTTTTTCAACCAGAATTACCGTGCAAGTGGTTTTAAACAAACCTCAATTATAAATTTTTTGGTTCCCCGGGCTAACACACCATTAAGCATCCTCTTCAATCAAAAACTTTTTTATTTAGAGCTTTTTTTGGGGGGGGGGGGGGGGTTTTTAAAACCCGGGGGCCCTTTTACGGTTACTTTCAAGGTTTTGGTTTTCCCCAACCTGGGGGGTTTTACCTATGGGAAATTTAAACCTGTTATGGGGTTCTGACAATAACACAAAGATTTCCTTTAGGAAGATTTTTTGGGTATAAGTTTTTCCCGTGTTTTTTTTTGGATACAGGGCACCTGAATGTCAAGTTTTTCGAATTTTTAGTAAAGGGCGAGCAAAAGGGGTATTTCGGTTCCCTGATTTATAAGAAAAAAAAATCATTTTCACAATTTTAACAGCACCATTCCTAGGATGAAAACCTGCCACAACTCTAAGTGCTCTCAGCCTTTCTTTGTATTTTCGACAGTCTCGTTACAACAGGTCCGAGCAATGGGACCTCAAAGACTAGATACCTGTATCCCTCAAGGGAGGTTCCTTTGACCCTGGTGAAGGGCTCTTGATCTAGGGAATTGAATCTGTGCTCCGGTTCCCTGAATTGAGCCTGAATACCTTCCACCCCCTCCCCACATGCGCTGTATAATCCTACGGATTTAGCGCTTCCCCATGATTATAATAACAATAATAAATACCTGTATCTGGTTACATATTCCAGAAGAGACCCATCTTGCAACTGAACACAGCGAACTGCGCCTCTCTGTACAAGAGGACTCGTGTTAAATTTCTTTATTTTCTCAGCAGAGATAATCAACCCCAGGTCCTGACACCAGGCTAGTACATGGTTAAGAATGTTTTAGGTGTTGGAGAATCCGGAGGAGTGAATCATTATATCATCAGCAAAGCTAATAATTATAGAATGATCGGGCTGGCAAGGCAGAGATCATTTAATAAAGCATTAATTAGAATACTGAAAAAGTCGGGAGTGAGCACACCTCCTTGTGGAATTCCTAATTTACGATCTTTAGTTACACTTGCTTGTCTTACAAGTTGAACTGAGTTTTGGCCACTAAACATTAATATTGAGTGCAGTGGTGTATGACCCTTGTGGGTTTAGCGTTTATTATATTATTATCGTAATAATAGTTGATACTGGTCATTTTAATGATGAACAGCCAGCAGGGATTTAGAGATGGTAAATCCTGTTCTTTGTGGAGTGTTCATGGCTCATATTCCTTGGATCAAGAGACAATGATGATGACATGGGTGGCTGATGGTGACTTGAGTCGGGAATGGATGGTAAAATGATGACTTGGGTGGGTGTGGGCGGCATAATGATAACTTAAGTGGGCGTGGGCGGCATAATGATAACTTGGGTGGTTGTGGGCGGTATAATGATAACTTAGGTGGGTGTGGGCGGCATAATGATAACTTACGTGGGTGCGGGCGGCATAGTGATAACTTAGGTAGCTTTGGGCGGCATAATATGATAACTTGGGTGGGTGTGGGCGGCATAATGATAACTTGGGTGGGTGTGGGCGGCATAATGATAACTTAGGTGGGTGTGGGCGGCATAATGATAACTTAGGTGGGTGTGGGCGGCATAATGATAACTTACGTGGGTGCGGGCGGCATAGTGATAACTTAGGTAGGTTTGGGCGACATAATATGATAACTTGGGTGGGTGTGGGCGGCATAATGATAACTTGGGTGGGTGTGGGCGGCACAATATGATAACTTGGGTGGGTATGGGCGGCCCAATATAATAATTTGCTAAATATCTTAATGACCGTAAGTTAGGTCTCCGCATTTGTTACGTACAGAAGATAAAAAGAAAATCCGGTTATACATACATATTTATATATTTTTAGTTGTGCCGAGCATGTGGCAGAGTCTTGGCGACCCTTTTCCATATTACAGACAATTATTAATGGGTTTTACACCCAATTTATGGAAAAAAAATATTATCCAGATGCCTCTTACAAAGTTATCATTGGAACAATGCTTAGTAACCTTGACTGGTAGAAAGTTTTACTTTTGGGGATGATATACTGCAACTGGGGTATGGGTTATATGTGAGATTTCTTGTCTTGGTGGGTTGGTTGGGTGGGTTGCATGTGTGGGGTTTAAAGTTGGGTTTATTGGGTTAATTATAGTGTTCGGGTGGGGGAAACCAGGGTCGTGGCCGAGGTTACAGACACGGGAGAGCCAGTCTTCGGGAGGTGTCGTCTAAGTCCTTCAAAACCACTGTATTAATAACCCAAATTTTGCTTAAATCCCGCCCACCCTCGCCCATTCCATCCCGTGGGCGTGGTAGTCGAGCAGGGGCATCGTGGGGGCAGGTGAGGAAGGCAGCAGAGGGCAGAGAAGAGGCAGAAAGAGTAAGGAGGAGCAGGAGTTTCAAACTTCCGTCAGTGCTTCATGATTCATCCCGGGAGAAAAATAATAACAAAAGTTTGAGGGTTATCATATGTTGGAGCCATCATGTCTAAAGAGTACGACCACCTCTTCAAGTTGCTCATCATAGGAGACTCAGGTGAGGGTGTGGTTGTAGGGAGGCAGGAGACACTCCATATATCACATGTTTATGTATTATTAACCTCGTTCTCCCACCTTACACCTCCCATCTTTCTCTTCTGCTTCTCTCTCTTATTTCTGTCTCCTTCATACAGTTAGGCATCACTTTCTTGGGAATAAATGGTAGTAACAGGAGTTTTACTATAGGCCTGGGGGAGGGGGACTTTGATAGACCTTTGTTACATCTGCCAACACTTGCTTATCTTTTAAACTTATGTGACACTTATTTGCTCTTATTTCCATGTTTTTCTAATTATTTAAGTCAAAATAGAACACTAGTTAAATTCTAAGTCACATATGCTACTTAAAACTGGAAATTTCGATCTGAAAATGCCTCAAATTTGTTTCTTTATTGTTTTTGCTAATATGTCTATACTTAGTTGCCTTTTTTTTTAATAATTTATTCATATGTAGTGTTGACCATCTTAAAGCACAGTTTGTTGTGCCTCCCGGCTCGTTTGCATTTTCTTTGTGTAAATAATGAATCGAGCAATGTCGAACTCCGTAGCTCGACTAGTAGCAGCTTCAGCTCACATTTGAAGGACCGGGGGTTAGATCCCAACACGAGTAGAAATGTGAGGCATGTTTCCTTACACTTGTTGCTCCAGTGGTTCATATGTGGACTGCATGCAGCCAGCAGTAACAGCCTGGTTGATCAGGCCCTAGTTCACCTTGAGACCTGGTCATGGAGTAGAGGGGTGTTGGCCCTCCAGAAAACCCTCCAGCTAGTTCACCTAGCAGGAAGTAGGTACCTGGGTATTAGATGACTTCCAGTGGTCACACCCTGGGGGAAGAGGGTCACAGGACCCCAATGGAAAGAAGCTATAATGGGTTGCTTGGATGATTTTGGGTCATTAACCCTCCATGTTATTCTGGGGTCACTAACCCTCCATGTTAATAATCATGTTAAAATAGTCTTCTTGTGAAAAATCTATAATTTCCACCACACAAGGTATAATTAAAAATAATTATATATTTTCATAATACTATATCTATAATTGACTTACGTCGTGGACTGGTTATGACTGAATGGTAAAATTCTTATGAAAAAAATTGTATAGATATCCTAGGTTAAGTCATCATATAAAATAACTTCAAAGTTAGCAATTTATATTATATACATGAAATAATGAACATTGATTTATAATTCCCATTTGTATGTGTTGTATTAATAAAAAGAATTAAAGGCACAATACAGTGACTGGAACAATGCACAAATAACACACAGGAGAAACAAACCTATGACAATAGTATATTGGTCCAACTATGACCATTAACTAGTCACATACTAGTGACTAGTCACATACTAGTGACTAGTCACATACTAGTGACTAGCTAATGGTCTAAGTTGAACCAAAACATTGCCATGAGTTTGTCTTTTATGTGCAGGCTATTTGTGTATTGTGTTGATACAAAACTTTAGTCATTCTCCTCTTGGATCAAACATAATTCCCAAAGTCAGGTAAAGTCATACATTTTCTGAAGATTACACCCTTCAAGGGAAGGCTGTAATCTTTTATTGACCTTCTCTCTGAGAAAAGTGAGAACATCAAAAAACATTATCCATCCCCTCTTCAAATCTTGTATGCCATTTTGTTGATTCAACTCTTATAAGTACAGTGGACCCTCAGTTTTCGTGTTTAGCCCATTCCAGAGCCATCTGCCAAAAGTGAAATCAGCCAAAACCAAAACCATTTTCCCCATAACAAATAATGTAAATGGAATTAATCCATTCCAGACACCCAGAAGTATCAACAAAAGAAATTTTTTTTTTTTACCTTAAAGATAGAGTTACATGCACAAAAGAATGAACATTACACATGACACTTACCTTTATTGAAGGCTGTTGTTGCTGGAAGGAAGACAGGGAGGAGGGGAGAGGGAAGAGAGTTATTCTTTGGAAGGGGAATCCCCCTCCATAAGGACTCTAAGTACAAAGTCCTTATCCGGGGTTACTTCCCTCCTTTGTTTTTTAATGCCGCTAGGACCAGCTTGAGAGTCGCTGGAACCCTGTCACACAAAATATTTGTCCAGAGTGTTCTGTTTCTGGCATCTCTTTAAGATTTGCCTAAAATGGGACATAGCATTGTCATTGTAAAAGTCACCAGCATGGACTGCAACAGCTGTTCTCAGGGTGATGTTCCTCCACAAATGAATGCACTTTAGTCCACATTGCACAAATCTCCTTAATCTTAATCTTCTTCTATCTCTCTTCCTCCTCCTCTGAAGCTATTTCCTCAGCTGTGATCAGTTGCTGTTGCAGATGAAGCTCTTGCAGCTCATCAGTGGTTAGCTCTTCATTGTGGTCCTCCACCAACTCTTCCACATCATCGCCACTCACACCCAACCCCATGGAATTCTCCAGTGCCACATTTCATTGCACAACAGGTGTAGGGTTGACAGGGTCAGCCTCAAACCCTTCAAAATCCTTCTTTTGGACACAATCTGGCAACAATTTTCCCCAAACGGAGTTCATCGTCCTGGAAGTCACTCTTGACAACACTGTTTTTCTTGTACACTGGGATTTTCAGAGTGATACACCAGTAAAGCCTTCACTTTGAAATCCCCACTAGCATTACCACACAACAAGAGAGTTAGCCTGTCTTTCATGGGCTTGTGTCCTGGGAGTGCCTTATCCTCCTGCATAATATAGGTTCTCAGTGGCATTTTCTTCCAAAACAGGCCTGTTTCATCACAATTGATCAAATTTTTCAGCCACTTATTTGTCTGAACTGGCACCCTCACTGTGCCTTACAACACTGTATGCCACTTTGCTTCTTGAATTTTTTGAACCAGCCTTTGCTGGCCTTAAATTCACCTACATCAGCACTTGTTTCAGGCAGTTTCTTTGAGATTCTCGTGCAACTGCCTTGTCTTTTCACAAATTATAGACTGCACAACACTATCCCCTGCTGACTCACTCTCTCTGATCCACACCAACAACAATTTCTCCACTTCTTCAATTGTTTGGGATCTCTGTTTGGTTATCGCATTCACCCCTTTCGCAACATCAGCTTCCATGATTTCTTTCCTCTTTGCCACAATGGAGCTGATTGTTGATGGCGACTTCCCATACACCCTGCCAAGTTCAGCAATGCGTATGCCACTATCATATTTTCTTACGATTTTTTTTCAGTTCTACGATGTTCCTCACTTTGTTTACCAAAGCACTGGCACTAGGAGCTAACTTTGGGGCCATGGCCACTTATTTAGCAGTCCCACACAATAAACAAGTGGCAAAAGCAATGGATTATTACGAAATGTTTCATATGACCTGGCAGGATATGTTCACTCACGAGAAACAACGCTACATTGGCTGAGAATGTATGTGGGAGGTGGCTTTGTCTGCGTGGTGGGCACTGGACAGGTTCTGTACGATCAACGAAAATGGAGGTAATCAACAAAAACAGAACAAAAAAATCGGATGAAACAAAACCGAAATAGGCGATAACGGAGATCGACGAAAACGGAGGATCCATTGTATGTAAGTTTATTTAGGTACAGGTCACATAACTACGATTATCATACATAGTATTAAGTCAGTGACTTATTTCCATTGGGGCTCTATACACCAAATCTCAAGTAAGAATGTACGCATCATCTTTATTCAGGGCTCAGGATGTGGTCAGACCTCTGGAGACACATTTTACTCTCAATTACGTATAATGCTTTTAAACCATAATCTTAACTTCAGTGGAAAAAAAATTACTTTTTTAACATTTGAAAAAAGTGAGTCTCAAAATACAATATTAATCTTACATGTTAAATTCTTTTATAAGGTTCTGTGTGAAAGCTTCAAGCACTGTATATGATGTGGTGAGAAACTCACTAATAAACAGTATTTTGTTGTTGTTTGTTTTAAGACTTTGTAGTTGCCAAAAATAGTGAAATGTTCAAAGCTTCAAAACCTGAATGATTTGACCTGACCTTAGCTGCCTTTTCTTCTTCATACCTAGGGCTCTCCTTTTCTTTTTTGCTCACAACTTGACAATGCTTGAGGACAGATTGAAATGTCATCTTGTTTCCATTTCCACTGTGGGTTACTTACAATTGATTACTGGATGAAATGGGTTTAATGGCTTGTGACAGAAGAGAGGTCATAATGCAGCCACCCTTTACATTATTTGACATTTAACCCTTTAAATGGGACATCAAGGCATTTATCTACCCTACTTATATTTACTAAAGTAAATTACATTCCCTTACATAGTAGCATATGTGTAAATTACTCTTTATGGGAAATTTTCCATCTTAAGATAGAAAATATCTTACATTAATAGTCATGTACCGTATTATTTTAAAACTGGAGCATTAATAACCAAGGATAACCCAAGGAGGTTGAGCAGACATCAGTGATATACTGCATAGAAAGCGCCTGGTTATGCAGAGCGTTTCAGACAACTTACGTTAATTTTGTCACCTGGATGCGACTCGCACCAGTTGACTAGCACCCAGGTACTATATGCTGTTAGGCAAATGGAAAGTAGGTGTCTTAAAGAAATGTGCCCTAATGTTTCCACCCATGCCAGGGATTGAACCACAGAAACTCATTGTGTGAGATGAGTGCACTACCAACCCAGCTATAAGCTTAGGTTCTTTCATGTATAATGCTGTGCACAGCAGTCTGCTTACTCAACTGATATCTAGGTGAACAGATTGAGCCCATAAAATGTTATATTTTCAGTTATTGAACTGAGGTATGTGTACAGTAATTACGTATACACAATACACAGATTGGCTACCATCAAAATTTGTCTTGTTGCTACATGTACCCGCCTATTTGTGGTTTCAGGGGCCATTTCGCAGCTCTTTGTTGTGTTGTTGTTATAAAGATTGCTTCACAGTAATATACATACTAAATTACAGTATCTGAAAAATGCACTTACTGTCTATAAATAATGTTATTAGCATTTAAAAATTACTGTATTTATGTCAAAGTTGCTGAGCAGTTATGACTATCACATGAGCAGAGAGATGCCCGGTATAATGCACTATTAAAATCCTATACTACATCTTCCATTTCTTCCCCGGATAAACTGCCTTGTTGAGAATGTGCCATGTTGTATAAATTCAGGTATTTAAGCACAGTAAATGCTGTATAAACTATTATACAGTGGCCACATTGTAAAATTACTTGGTATGTTAGATTCTTTTGTAATTGGCCATCTGGAATAGACCATGGAACAGGTGGGTTTTGAACCCATGACAGGTGGGTCTTCAAACTCCAGGCCAGTATATAAGCTGCTAACCTGGAGTTTTAGGACTTGCTTGCCATGAGTTCAAACCTCGCCTGCTCTGTGCTTTATTTGCAATCATGTTATTACGATTTTGTGAATCTGTAATGGCTCTGATGCAGTTAAATTTTTATTAAATTCATAATCCTCGAAGTCACTTTTAAGCATAATTTTAACATGCTTTCATTTGCAGGAGTTGGGAAGAGTTCTCTACTTCTAAGATTCGCAGACAACACCTTTACGGGCAACTATATCACAACGATTGGTGTTGACTTCAAGATCCGCACACTGGAAGTTGACGGGGAGAGAGTTAAACTACAGATCTGGGACACAGCAGGGCAGGAGCGCTTCAGAACTATCACATCTACGTACGTGTTTACAGCCGCTTGGTGAACCACTTTTGTTATTGATATTCACTTGCATTTACTAATTCGTAAGTGATGTTAAAGTTTTATCAAGGTGTGTAATAGAAACAATTTACTTAGTTATACATTTTTATGTTTGGCTTCCATTTTCATTCTTCATGCATTTATACCTTTATTATCTAATATACCTGATCTACTGTAAGTTAGTTTGTTAGTTTAACATCTTTATTATGCACTCCTTACCCATCCTGCGGGCAGTAGTCAAAAACTATTACAGAGGTACATAATGGGTCCAGGGACTGTGCCCCAAAGTTTTGATAGCTGAACAGGTTGCAAAGGCAATGAACCATTCACACACTTAGCATCTTCATGCTATGGAATTTTTGAGATCAGAAATTACGATAAAATCTTTTAATAATGATCATCATAGCACTAACTTTGTACCACTAATAATACAGGTAGAAACTCTTAAATCTGTTATCCATGAGGCTTGATTTTCCTGAGAATCGGCTCTTTTTATATGTTCGTTATTCCATTTAAAAGTTAATCAAATACAATCCGGAAGAAATATCCCAAAAAATTAGACATAAGTTCTCAATTTTTTCTGATTTGTTGTGTTGATTGGCTCTGTATTTGGATTTTCTGCTAAAATTGGGGCTCTAATTTTTCCTTAATTTGTTTACCTTACTGCCTGTTGTAACAATGCCCCCCCAAAAAATGTGTAGACATCCCTTGTGACTAATAGTGTGAAGAATAAACTTCAATATGTGTTGTTAAAGGTGTAGCTGTCGAGAGAGTGGAGGAAGGAGCTTTAGTGTAATGCTAAGTGATTAGTGTGTTAGGTCAAAGGACACATGTGTGATTAATGTAATACTTTATTGTGCCAGTGTTTCACTCTCCAGGAGCTTCGTCAAGCCATTACAAACAGTACAGGGACACAGAGAGTATATATAAGTAACAGTGTGAGGTGAAAAAGCTTAAGCATCACAGTAGGTTAACTGACCCATTCTGGTTGTGGCAGTGGCAGCAGCTGCCACTGCTTCCTCTCCTCCCCCTCTTGCTAGTGCTTCATATATGACAAAGCTGCTTTTCTTTGGACCTTCCTTTTAATTTGGATGATTTCAAGAAAATTTATGCATTGATCAGTTACAGTATAGAAGTAGACATGAATGTTTCCTCTTGATTCTTCAGTTCAGGTATAGAACATGTTTCTCAAAACTGCATGCACTTAATGTGTTCATTAGTTTACCTTTGACTTTTTTCCAGACAGAAGGTGCTCCACCTTTTGAATTCTTTGCTTGCACGACGTATATTATTCTTCCTTCAGGTATTACCGCGGCACCCACGGAGTAATAGTAGTGTATGATGTAACCAATGGAGAAAGCTTCGCTAATGTTAAGCGCTGGCTTCATGAAATTGAGCAAAATTGTGAAGTAGTCAACAGAATATTAGGTATGGCAAATGCTTATGTTTTCCTGAATAAATATTTACTGTGTGATGCACTATGCTATATACATATACTGTAGTAATAGTACTGTAATGTTTTGTGGCTATGGGTGAAATGTGAGGCATTGAGAATTAAATGTCAAAAGTTGTTCAATAAGTATTTTTTCAAAATTCCTAATTTATTCTTTATTTTTGACATTTTTAACTTGCATATAATGCTATGTAAAGGAAAGATTCAAATCATGAAATTTTAAAATTGCTAGTTGATCTTGCCCCAACACTGTACATATAACATAATTTCTATTTCTTATGATATACAATGACTTTCTCCCAGAATGTACTTAGCCTTCCTCTCACAATATAGTCTTAAAGAGCTACAAATCATGATTAACACCTGAAAGTAAATGGTTCCTCTCGTTGCTTAGTTTGGTAAACACTATTTAGTACCTAATTAAACTTGGCAAACCTGGATCTCGCCAACAAAGCCAACACTCGTGGATATAAGGAATTACGTTGTTGTAGCAACAGGAACGGAGCTCTTGTCTTGGTGTTAGGTTTTTAGTACAGAATTTATCATAATTTGTTTATTATTTATTACCTCTTGTATCTCATGCTTCTGTTCTGTTACTCGGGAAAGATTTTCTAGCATTCTTACAGCACTATTTTCATGGGTTACAACTGAGGCTTTTCTGTACTTGTTGATGGTGCTAAGAAGTCTTTTTATAGGTTAGTGGATGAGTTTGAGAATGTGTGTAAAGGTAGAAAGTTGAAAGTGAACATAGAAAAGAGTAAGGTGATGAGGGTATCAAATGATTTAGATAAAGAAAAATTGGATATCAAATTGGGGAGGAGGAGTATGGAAGAAGTGAATGTTTTCAGATACTTGGGAGTTGACGTGTCGGCGGATGGATTTATGAAGGATGAGGTTAATCATAGAATTGATGAGGGAAAAAAGGCGAGTGGTGCATTGAGGTATATGTGGAGTCAAAAAACATTATCTATGGAGGCAAAGAAGGGAATGTATGAAAATATAGTAGTACCAACACTCTTATATGGATGTGAAGCTTGGGTGGTAAATGCAGCAGCGAGGAGACGGTTGGAGGCAGTGGAGATGTCCTGTCTAAGGGCAATGTGTGGTGTAAATATTATGCAGAAAATTCGGAGTGTGGAAATTAGGAGAAGGTGTGGAGTTAATAAAAGCATTAGTCAGAGGGCAGAAGAGGGGTTGTTGAGGTGGTTTGGTCATTTAGAGAGAATGGATCAAAGTAGAATGACATGGAAAGCATATAACTCTATAGGGGAAGGAAAGAGGGGTAGGGGTCGTCCTCGAAAGGGTTGGAAAGAGGGGGTAAAGGAGGTTTTGTGGGCGAGGGGCTTGGACTTCCAGCAAGCGAGCATGAGCGTGTTAGATAGGAGTGAATGGAGACGAATGATACTTGGGACCTGACGATCTGTTGGAGTGTGAGCAGGGTAATATTTAGTGAAGGGATTCAGGGAAACTGGTTATTTTCATATAGTCGGACTTGAGTCCTGGAAATGGGAAGTACAATGCCTGCACTTTAAAGGAGGGGTTTGGGATATTGGCAGTTTGGAGGGATATGTTGTGTATCTTTATACGTATATGCTTCTAAACTGTTGTATTCTGAGCACCTCTGCAAAAACAGTGATAATGTGTGAGTGTGGTGAAAGTGTTGAATGATGATGAAAGTATTTTCTTTTTGGGGATTTTCTTTCTTTTTTGGGTCACCCTGCCTCGGTGGGAGACGACCAACTTGTTGAAAAAAACAAAAAAAAAAATCTTTTTATGACCTTTTATCAGCCTGTAAGGGCATTTTTAATACTTTCAGCTTTACATTTTGTAGCTCTGAAAGCCATTTTGTCAGTATTTGTCAGTAATAACTCCCAGATCTCCCTCAGTCTGAGAGTTTTAATATTTCATTTCACATCCTCAAAATTCTTCATGTTGGTTTGATGTGGCTGTTGACCTTTTCCATTACATGATGCATATCTACAAGAAATTTCATCATCCATCTGTCACTCTGACTTGCTCAGTGTATTGGTCATCTTATAGGGATTTCCAGCCATTTTTATTGCTTCTCTTTTATACGATTTTTTCAACATAGACATGTTTATATGAATAAACAAGCAGTTTGAATGTTGTTAAGAAAAGGTTTCTGGTGTAGATCTTACTCTACATCTAGCTTACTGATCCACCCCATAAAGAGATTCACTTGTATCACATCATGAGTTGTGTACTATATGATATCACTTCCAGGTCAGGGTTCTATTAAATGATTCTAGTCATTGAACTCTACCAGGCATAGAACACCATCTGACTTACTAAGGAAAGTTTTCTATGATGTAGTAGAGCCAGTGACTTCCCCACCACCTCCATCATTCCCTTGCAAGGAGTTTTCATGTTGAGTAACTGACAAGTCAAAGCTTGCATCTGTGAGTGCTGGACTGGTTTGTGGGTTCCAAGGGTTGCTTGATACTTGGGAAATATTTGTTTGCAGCTGTTAATGAAATGAGTAGATTAACCACCGGTTAAGTGGTAAGCAGGTCTTGTAGCACTGTGAGGCTTTATATTGTGCGAGTGCAAATTAAGTGTATTCTGGAGCAGGTCGTTGAACCTACTGCAGCATAGAAAACCCTTTTCATAGGTCAAAGGTACTGGTAAGTATACTGTGGTACAAAATTAGTCGAAAAATTGTAAAAATTTAGCAGTGAATATAATTTTAAGTCTGTTGAGAAGAACAGAAATGAAAATTTAAAGTTTTTAACTCAAATGATATGAATTACAGTACAGTATATAAAATTGAAAAGGTTTTATCTGTGTATGATGCATCATGAAAGTACATTGATAACTTATGATTTTTTAATCAGGCCCAATGTCTTTTATAATTTTTTTTTCCATCTTTTAAGTGTAAAACCACCAACACCAGTAGCCTACTTCCTCTCCAAACCAAAACAGCACCATTCTTAACTTGCACTTTCCAACCAACACTTTCATTGCATCGGCTTCTTTATGTTGCTGCTTGCATTTAATCTTGGGCCATGGACCCTTTCTTTACAAAATTCAAGTGAGTTTAAGTACTGATCTCCTCACTGACTTTAGCTAGGGTAGCACATGCCAATAAAAAATAAGAAAATAATATGGAAAAAGATGCAATTATTTTTAATGCCGCATGGCTTATATTTAACTTTTACACTGCATTATTATAGGAAATTAAGTATCACCACACAAATAAACATTCAAATCCGTATTTAAGGATTTTCACAGAAATGCTGTAAAAGTTATCTGAATACATTGTCATAAGTTCAAATTGATGATTTTTTTCGGGTTCATAGCAGACCATTTTTCAGAAAGAATGAATGAATGGATTTAAAAGAAAAAAAGAATTAGAATCGTCAAGAAGAATACCAACCCAAGCTTCAGAGATTGACAAAAAAAATTATATGTACAAATGAAAGGAGGGGGGAGGTTGATGTTTTGAAAAAAAAAATAAGGGGATAAAAAACAAATTGAACCAGATTTTTTCATTAAGGGGGGAAAAGAAAAATTAAATGAAAAAAAAAATGAAAAATACTTTAGTGTCCCAAAAACACAACCGGTTAACAAAAACAAACTTTTACAGGATAGACAAATAGAACAGGGACCAGCAGAAACACCTTGGGTTTTAAAATCTGTGCAGAAGAACATAGCTATCCATTCCTGAAATTATTTGACATTTCAGTTTTAAGGTGATATCTTGAAAAATGGGAAAAAAGGCTTACATTAAGCTTTTAAAAGGTAATGGGCCTTTCTTAAGGTTTGAAAAAAATGAGCTAAAAAGAGCCATAGAAAAAAGGGGGATCAAACACTTGAGGCAAAGACCTCTTATTAAACTGTTCAGTTTTTATGAAAAAAAAAAAAGCTGTATATCAGCTCTTAAATTCCTGTGTGAGTCAAGTGAATTATTCAGGAAAGAGACACATGGCCAATTTCAATTATTTAGATTAGAAGAAATGCTCAACCCGCACATAGGAGAGAAAAACTCATGGCAGTGTTCATCCAACTTGACTTTTTCAAGTAATTTGTAAAAGATCCAATTTGACGAAACATCTAAGCTTTTTTCTATGTGAGAGTTATTTGTGTATTGTTCCAGTCATGGTATTGTGCCTTTTTGTTCTTCTTGATTATAAGAAATATTTGGATAGTTTCATGAGTGACTAACCTAAAAATTACAAAATATAAGATGACTAAAAGACAAATTATTGCATTCGATGATAAATTTTGTTTGATAAGAAAATGTGAACTGTGATGAGAGAAAAAAATGCCCTGATGGAAAAATGTTACCAATGGTGCACCACAAGGATCGTTGCTTGCACCTGTAATATCTTGTATAAAATGTTTAAAGGTATAAAAGCTAAATGAAAATTTTTGCAAATGATGTAAATATCTTGTCCAAAAGTAACTAAATACAAAGTCTGGATAAATTTAGTAAACAGAGAGAGTTTGGGGGATGTAGGAGTAATTACAGAGGAAAGATTGTGACTGATTATATAATGGGAGTCCATGTTGGGATGCAGTTCACTTGCCAGTTGTTGCACAGTGTTTCTGTTATGAGGTGGATGCAAAGTCCTTTAAGATGATCATTTCTAGAAAGATATACCTTTTTTGATAATTATCTTGTCAGTTAGTCTTTCTTAGATCCATCTCTTGCAAAGGGAGAATATGCCTTGAAATTAGTAAAGAGCTCTTGGTCCAAGTAATTGGAGCTATTCTTACTTGAATCAAACTTGATTATCTGCCACCCCTCCCATTTCCCAGGTATTGTATGACCCTTATGGGTTTAATGCTCTCTTATGAATATAATCCAGGGTCCAAGCAATTATGGACATGTCAGAGAAGGTAAGATTGTCCTTATTATACAGATAACCTACACATAGGAGAATGACGCTTACAATGTTTTGGTCCAGGTAGGACCAAAACGTCTTCATAAGTATCATTCTCCTATGTATGGGTTGTTTGTGTATTGTTCCAGTCTCAGTATTGTGCCTTTTATTCTTTGTCCTTATTGCACAGTAGATTGGCACAAGCAATGGCAGTACAGGAAGTCCTCACTTAACGTAGCTTCGTTCAATGTCATTTCGTTATAACATTGAAGAGAAAAAGAAATTAATTCCCAACCAGGAATGGAAAATATGGAAAGACTTAATTATCTGGATGGAGGCCATGCATCGGCTTAGCTCTCCATGTTCGCTAATGGCCATACAAATGAAAGCTTTAAGTTTATTTGAAGATCTTAAGAAAAAACAGGGCTCTAGTGCTGAAAAGGAAACCTTGTGGCAAGTCATGGTTGGTTTGAATGTTTTAAGAAACTTTTAAAACTGCATAACATGTAGATAACAGCTGAGTCTGCAAGTGCCATCAAAGAAGCTGCAGCTGCTTACCCAGCTTTATTATTATGTCAGTTTCCTCCCTTATGGCTGTTTGTATTCAGTTTTTATGATACTTATTCCTGTTTAATTCTGAAAAACATATGATACCTAAAATAATAAAAATGTCAATAATTGAGTAAATATATGACTTTATAGCACCCCAGAGTGACATACTCTATAGGCATGGTGTCTGCAGCACTACTGCCTCCCTAAATAACAAAAAGGCACAATACCGTGACTGGAACGATACACAAATAACCCGCACATAAAAGAGAGAAGCTTACGACGACGTTTCGGTCCGACTTGGACCATTGACAAAGTCACGTGATTTTGTCAATGGTCCAAGTCGGACCGAAACGTCGTCGTAAGCTTCTCTCTTTTTTGTGCGGGTTATTTGTGTACTGCCTCCCTCTCAGCTCTCCCTTGCCAAAAACAACTTGATCTTGTTTATATCAATTAGCCTACGAAAAATTGGTTTCATTATCCATGTTTGTTTCGCTTAAAAGGCAGTTTCCCAAAACCATCACTACGAAAAGTGGGGACTTCTGTACTTAAAATGATTGCCAAATTAATTCAATAAACATTTATGATGAAAACGAAGGGGTCTAATTACATGTGCCCCCAAGGGGCAGGGGGTAATGAAGGTGAAAACTGCAATTCTGGGGGTAGAAAAGTAAATACCTGCCACTAAA